CCGTCCGCCCCTCCGTGCCTGGCCCTATTCCCGGGGCCCCCGCAGCTGCTTCTGCAAAGTGCTGGACGGTGTCCTCTGAATCTACCCAAGGGCCCAGGGAGACAACTCACCCGGCCCCTGAGCCGCTTCCTGAGCAAGCAGAGGCAGGCCCCAGACCGGGGGAGGGGTCGGCGGCACCCACGGCACCCACCCCGGTCCAGCCAAGTCCCACCCCGCTTACGACACTCCCAGGGTGGCACGCCTGTCCCTGCCGCGCCTGGAGGCCTCGGTCATGACCATCCGGTGTGGGGCTGGAAAGCTGGGTGCCCTCTGGGTGATGCGGGCACTCACCCCGGAACAACGGGGCACAGGGGGTGACAGGATCCCGTCAGAGACCGCGGGGTGGACGGCGGGAAGCCAGGGCTCAGGGGACCGGGGAAGCAGGGAACTGCCATCGGGGGCCCAGGAGAGAAAGGACCAGCCTGGACGTAGCCCCCGTCGAGGCGCCAGCCCCAGGCAGCGACTCCCCGCACCTCCAGCAGTGGACAGGAGGTGGTCCTGACCTCTGGTCCCTGTGCCAGCTGTCCCAGCCCGAGGGACATCCCAGCTAGAAGGTGATGGGAAAGATGAAGTTGTTTGGAACTGGGCAGGAGATGAAAACCGACAATACAGAGAAGAGACTTTTTATTAACGGGGCGGGCAGGACACCTATTAATCCCTACGCGTGCACCCAGAAGCTGAGGGCCTGCCGGAGACCTCATCCCGGAATGAGAGAATCTTCCAGGAGCGTGAACCAGCCGGCAGAGCTAGATGTCCTGCCACCGTCTGCCTACGGCCACCCCGGCCACCCCATCCAGCTCACTCTGGGCGTGGAAGCCTGTTGGAGAACCACCCGTCTGGGCGGTGGCATCAGTGTGGGTTTCCGAACTGGGCCGATCCAAGTTCAAACCCTGACCAAGCCCCTTTCCAGGGAAACTTGGGTAAGTCCTGGAACTTTCTGCTCTGTGGGCATCTTAGAGATAAGACAAGGGTCACGATCTCGCCCTGGAGGTTATGGTCAGGGTCAAAGAGGACAAAGCGTTGAGGGGTTTCTACACGTGGGGCACCGCCCAAGGTTGTTGGGAGTCACGCCCGCTCTGTGCGGCCCCCGCAGACAGGGCCACCCTCCGCGATGCCCTCAGCTGGAAGGACTTCCACGCGTCCGGGGCGACGGGACAGGGGCACGCTGACATCTGCACCAGCGCAGCCTGGGTCCCGGCACCCTGAAGCTGCCGTTAGGACAGGAAGCCTGCGGACGGAGGTGGCTGCACCCGCTCCCGCCCCCTAGCCACACCCCAACCCCGGGCTGGCCCGGCCCGCCCACGGCTGCAGGGCTCCTGACAGCCCCAGAAAGGCAGTGGGCTCCCGGGTGAGGCCCTCTTGGGGGGCCGGCCCTAGAAGGGCAGGGCCAGGAACGCTCTGTCTGCAGGCCGCCCAGCAGCCGGGGACAAGCCCTCCGTGCCCCCACAGCGTCCACCGCAGCGGCCACGCGGGATGCTAGGGGCCCTGTGGCCCCCGCTGTGGAGACAGTGACACTCACTGCAAATGTGTCACGAACCACCCCAGGGAAAGACTGTAAAGCACACCCATGGCAAAGCTGTTCCGAGTGGCTACGACTCATCGGTGACATTTCAAGGGGGCATGCCCTCGGGGGCACGGGACGCAGAGAAGCCACCGCCATCTGTTGGCGCCGGCTGCTTTCAAGCTGCTGGGGACAGGAGGGGGGTGCCTGGGGCCTCCGGCAGGGTAGCCGGCCCCGTAGTCCCCCGGCACCCCCATTTAGGTGTGAGAACTGCGGGGACCTCTGAGGCACGGTTTCCCTCTGGGCTCCTGAGATGGAGCCACCCACCCGCACCCGATCCAGGTGGGAAGGCTCCCACCCCGGGAGGGACGGCAGAGGAAGAGGGGCCTCAGGGTCCCCGCCCCTGCCCTGGGCCCAGAGGAGGAGTGACAGGGAACAGGGGGTCTGCGGCTGGGACTGCAGGCCCAGGGAGGCGTGGGCAAGTGTCCTGGGGGGAGCCAGGTTCTCAGCGTGCCCGGGTTGAAGAGTCGGGCGGAGGCTGGGCAGCGGCCCCTGTGAGCAGACAGGCAGGGAAACCAGCCGTTAGAAATGAGCTCACTCCTCGGCCTGGCGCCCGGACTCAGAAACTAAACCCAGTTCCAGAGACCGAGAGCATCACGCTTTTCCCCCAACGTGGTGACCGTACAATCCCATCCCCGCCACGCAGACAAACGCCAAGCATCCTCTCGGTTCCCGGCCCCGGGCCACTCGGGCAGGCGCTGACCTGGGCACCGCATCCCGGCCGGCTGGCCGCGCCTGGGTCTCGTCCTGCGTGTGACACAAGCTGGTCTGGTCTCAACTGTGAGCCAAACGGGACGACGTCCCCAAACGGCCCCCGTAAAAGTAACGGTCTTACAGTTGGGAACATCTATGCCGCCGGGTCCGACATCTCACCCAGCACAGGAAGCCCCGCTGAACCACCCTCCCGGGCAAAACACGTCCTGTGCCCGAGTGACCCCGGGGGAGCGGGACCACGTCCTCCTGAGCCCCCCTCCCTTGCCGTACGAAGTCAGACTGTGGGACACAAGGGCTCTGGCCCAGATCGCGACGCCTCCTGGCCCGTGATCACAGCCGCCAGCCCGGGTTCTGCTTCAGAAGCCACACCGGAAAACAAAACCACAGCTGACAGCTGCTGTCTGTGAGAGGCAGAACGATACCACCACCCGCCCCCAGAGGCCCGCGGCCTAATCCCCCCGCGCCCAGGAGTGTGGCCTTCTACTTAGCTGGTGTGATTACACCCGGAAGCTGGCGGTGCGGAGACCGTCCGACTGTCCAGGAGGGCCCGGCGTCGCCACGTGGGAAGCGAGGGCTGGAGGAGAGGGGCCCACGCAGGCCGAGGTCAGAGGGGAGGGGGCCGCCCCGCAGGCAGAACGGGGCTGGGACCCCATGAGAGCTCGCGAGAGCCCCCGCGGCCGGAAAACACTGGGGCCGCCCTGCCCACACCTTGATTTTGGCCTGCCGACACATGGGGCCTCTGGAACCACAAGGCGAGTTCACATGGTTCCAGACCACGAGCTGTGTGGTCACCTGTTAGGGCCGCACAAGGAGGGGAACGTCCACCCTCGCGGGCCCCCGACAAGGCGGAGCCAGATCCCGGTCCACCCCCGGCTTCTTCAACCGCCGCCCGCAAAACGTCATCCCCAGGCTCTCGCTGACCCCGTCGTCCCCTCGGTAAACTCTGGTGCCCACATTCGCGCGCCTCGTCACGTGGCGACCTCACGCCGTGGACGTGTGACCCCCTGGCAGGCCGGCTCAAGTCCAGGAAGGACTGGGGGTCTCGGCCTCCCTTGGTCCGAACGGCCCTCCTCTCACCTGCGTCCACCCCGTGATGGCCCCGTCACGCCGACAGCCACGTGCCGAGTCCCCTCATCCCACATGCGTGCGCTTGGGATTTAAGACCCAAACGTAGGGGGCTCACGTTTCTTCTCCTCAACCTCAAACTTACTTTTCCTCCTCAATTCTGACCCATCTAAGTCACCTTGGAGCCTGACTTCCAGGGTGAGAAACCGACCAGGCTCCCCTGCAGGGCCCCACACCCGCTGTGTCCCTTCAGACCACCCCCGTCCCCGACGGCCCGCTGAAGCTGGAGGCATGGCCCACACAGCCACCCCTTTCCTAATCCCCCCCAAAACAAGGCACAGCCCAAAGACAAAAAATTGGGGGTTTTCTGATGATACCTAGGAAGAAATATGGAGGAAGTAGCAAGTACTGAACTTGAGGACGTGGAAGTGTTCCCAGAATCCCACAGGCCCCCGCAGTGTGGCCCCTCTGAGACCATCGTGAGATGCCTGCGGGCGTCTCCTGGACTTTAAGCCCTGAAGATGCACGGAAGAGCCCCCCCTCCACCCCCGACGCCCCCACACCCCTGAAAGAGTCAGCCACTTTCCCTGAGCGAAGATGCCGCCTTGCAGAGGAGGTCGGGCCCCCCCTGCCTCTGGCGGGCAGCTCGCACCCACGTCCCCCGCACCGTGAGAGCCTGAGGTCACTAAGGTTCTGGTCAGTACAGGACGAGCCCTCTGCAAATCCCTTCACAGGCACTAAGCGCTCAGACACTTGGCATGACCCAAACCGCGGCTGGGATCGCCCTCGACTGACTAACAAAAATGCTCCCAGAACTGCCCAGAGCAGGGAGCTGGAGGAAGCCCTGCAGAACTTCATCCTGCTTCACCCCGTCCAGCCTGGCCGCTGAGGTTCAGCTCAGCCCAGGACGAGCCCCTCCTTCCCAGAGGATGGGGGAGGGGGCGGGCAGAGCGCAAAACCACGTCCCTATAACAACTACAAGACAACTCCACCTTCCCAGGGGCTCACGTCTTCAGTAGACACTTCTCCCAAGACACCCAGACGCATAAAAAGACGCTCAACATCACTGATCCTCATGGAGATACACATCACAACCACGAACCACCATTAGACACCGCCCACGCCTGCAAGAGTGGCTAAAATCAACAACGCGACAAACAGCAGGCACCGGCGAGGATGCGGAGAAAGGGGAACCCCCGTGCACGGCTGGCCGGGGTGCAAACTGGGGCAGCTGCTCTGGAACAGGGTGGAGGGTCCTCAGAAAGGTGAAAACGGAACTACCCTACGACCCAGGAATCCCTCCCCTGGGTGTTTACTCCCCAAAATAAAAACATTAATTCAAAGATCCACGCACCCGATGTTACAGCAGCACTATCTACAACGGCCGAAACACACGCATGCACGCGCACACGCACGTGCACACGCCGGAAGGCTACTCGGCCATAAAAAGGATGAAGTCTTGCTGTGCCTTGCAAAGACGTGGGTGGACCTAGAAAATATGCTAAGTGAGATAAATCAAACACAAACACCGCGTGATTTCACTCAAATGTGGAATTTAAGAAACAAAACCAACAGGCACAGGAGAAGAGAGAGCGCGGCCAACCAAGAAACAGACGCTTACCTGTGGGGACCACGCCGGCGGTTACCAGGGAGGGTGGTGGATGGAGCAGGCGACGGGGGTTGAGGACGCCCTCGTGGCGGGCACCCGGTGCCGCTCGGAACCCCTGTGTCGCACACCTGAAACTAACGGAACACCGTATGTTAATTACGCCGGAACGAATAAATAAACTCAAAACCCCTCTGAGTTTAAACACGCGAAAGACACTCTCGCACACGATTTTTAAGCATCTTCACCATGAATTAAGAGAAGACACACTAAGTGGAGGAAGCCAGACACCAGCAGTCAGACATGGTGGGGCTCCGTTTACACGAACTATTCACAACAGCTACGTCCCAGACCCGGAAAGCAGACTGGCGGTTGCTGGGGGCTGGCGGAGGGAGAGGACGGAAGAATCAACGGGTCCAGGATCTCCTGGGGGAGACGAAACGTCTTGGAACCAGAGAGAGGTGACGGCTGCGTGATATCGTACGTTCACTGAATGCCACCGAATTGTTGCTTTAAAACAGTTCGTATTATATAATGTCACCTTTTTAAAAAATTTTTTAACGTTCATTTTTGAGACAGAGAGACAGAGCGTGAGTGGGGGAGGGGCAGAGAGAGAGAGGGAGACACGGAGTCTGAGACAGGCTCCAGGCTCTGAGCCGTCGGCACAGAGCCCGAGACGGGGATCAAACCCACAAACCGTGAGATCGTGACCTGAGCCGAAGTCGGATGCCCAACTGACCGTGAGCCCTGTGGGCACCCCTGGATCTTTAATTTTTTTATATATTTTACTTTTAAATAATCTCTATTCCCAGCGTGGGGCTCAAACCTAAAACCCTGAGGCCAGGAGTCACGTGCTCTACTGACTGAGCCCCCCGGGCACCCCTATGCAACGTGACTTTTCACACAATATTTAAAAGTCTCATCTCCACTTGAAACCCAAGGATTCACTTTCATCTTTCTGAAGCCACGCTGAAATGGGCAAAGTGGCAGGAGGCCGAGAGCTGGCGTCAGTGAGCCTGGCTCTGCCGCAGCAAATGCCCAGACTGGGGGCCCCGACGTACACCACAGAAGTCCACGTCTCACACTTCTGGATGCCAGAGGCCCACAATCAAGGTGCCAGGTTTGGAGTCTCCTGGCTGGCCATGCCACCGTGTGCCCGCATGGCGGCAGGCGGGAGGTGGGAGGCGGCCGTCTGGGGTCTCTCTCCTAGGGCACTAAGCCCATCACGGGGCCACGCCCTCGTGGCCCAATCAACTCCCCAAGGTCCCGCCTCCAAATGCCACCATGCTGGGGTCAGGCTTCCACAGGGGAAGCGGGTGGGGGCACGGACTCAGTCCCGGCAGAGCGTGAGGCTGTCAGCAGACACGTGTGCACGGAGCCCCCTCCTGGGACAGACGGAGGGAGTGTGCAGTGAAAAGAATGAACGTGTATGTGCAAACACACCTATAAAGCTCATGGTCCACCCGGGCAGCAGGCGGGGAGGCTTCTCAGGAGAGTCCAGGAAAGTCTCCAAGCTCAAGGCCACAGGGCCCTGGAGCCGGGAAGGGCGGGGCCCGAGCAGGAGGCAGCGATCTGGGCCTCCGGCGAGGCGGTGGCAAGAGGCACGGCAGACCGGCCACCGGGGCTGAAGCGCAGGGACCCATGGGGTCGGATCTGGGGACGCCGAGGGGGACTCGGAGGGGATGGCTGAAACAGGCAGCAGGCGCGGCCGCGAGACCAGAGAGAGAATCCGAGCACAGGTCACCCCGACCACCGTGGTGGGGACAGGCAGAACCCCGCGTCCCGGGCCCGCTGCCAGGGCCCAAACTCGCTAGGCGTGAGCGGTGTTCACAGGACCCAGGGTCAGGGGCACACTTAGGCAAGACCAGACGTGCGCACGGACACCCACCGCAGGGAAACAACACTCGTACTCGTGCTGCTTTCTGACGCTTCCCGCTCTGGCGTCGCCTGTGTCGTTAAAAAGAGAAAAAGACACCACAGCCCACCGGCACGGTTCCACGCAGCCTGTGCCTCCACGGTGACTGCCCCACTCTCCACAGACGCCCCTCAGGGGCCCCCGGAGGCTGGGGGAGCGGGTAGGGGCAGGCAGGCGTCAGAACCAGGGTTTCAGAGCCCCCCGGGAACTCCCGCTCCCCCCAGTGGCGGACGCACGCCCAGGACGGGGGTCTGTCACCCATCTGGCGCGCAGACAGGGACGCACTTTGTGCAAATCAGAGACTAACGTCACGGCAGGAAAAAGGGCCAAAGGCTCCCAGCGGCGACTCCCAGGAAAACCAAGAATGTGCCAAGGACACAGCTTGTTAACTTGAGCCCGTGCCCAACCCCCAGCCCAGCGCCCCGGAGCCGGCCCGCCTGCAGGGGTGGGAGGACGAGGGAGGAGAGGAGACTCTGAGAAAAGACTTCTTAAATTATGAATGAGAGCCCCGTTAATCATCTTTGAGAGACACAAGAGGGTCTGATTCCTTTTTAATTACTTTGGGCGCTCACCTGCCTCCCTGATGAAGTCCCCCAGCAGGGCCAGCGCCGCAGGGCTCCCGGGGGTGTGCACACGAAGACATGCTCAGCCGCCCCCCCCCCCCCCCCCCGAGAGCAGAGGGACGCAGGGTGACGTGACAGTGCGGACTCACAGGGACGAGGACGCCAGTGTTGGAGGGCGGGAAGGGGCACCTGTGGATGCGCGTCAAGACTGAACTGCACGCGCTCTGACCCGGCACTTCCACACGTGCATACTTCCCGGAGGAAACACCTGGAAAATGTGCCGGAAGGGGAAAGGCCGACAACCGGGCAGCGGCCGCCACGATTGCTCACCTCCGCTCGCGGGGTACCGGGCGCGGACGGAGCAGGTGAGGGCCTGGCCCTGGTCACCGCCGGCGTCCCCCGTGCGGGACGCGTGTCGTCCCTGCTACGGGGGGGAAGGGACGATGCCTCAGGCCCTTCCCACGGCACGTTCGAAGCGCGACTGACTGCACCACAGGCCTGCGCTTAGGACAGCGCGTGACCCCGCGACCGCCTCCCGCAGACACGTCCGGAAACGTTCACCGAAGCAGTGAGTGCTTGTTGGGTTTCTACCGTGCGCCAGGCGCCGGACGCAGAGCTGATTGAAACAGACAAAAGCCTTTGTCCCTGAGGCGCCGGCGACCCGGGAAGCGGGCACGATGACGGCTCTGCACCCACTCTTGCCAACGAGGGCAGGGCACCCGCTGCACCCGCTGGGCCCTCCTGCGGCCTGTGCGGCCCGGGGGGCCGGGCTCCCGGCTTGCGGGCCAGCCCCCCGGGGCCGGTGCACAGCCGCCCGGCAGAAATGTCTGCTGACCACGCGGACAAGCACCAGAGAGTAAAAAGACGAGGCCACGGAACGACACGCTTCCTCCTCCCCCGAGGTGCAAGTGTCCTGTATGTTTTTATGACACAAGTGACGTCCTTGAAACCCTGCAACGATTTAGAGGCACCACTGGTGAGACTCTCCCCCCCCCCCCCCACCGTGGGGTCCCACCCTTGAGAAGGGATTCTTGACCCGTGCTCGGGCTGCTTCCCCTCGACAGGCGTCCCCAGTCGCTCTGTCGCAACTCCTCCTCCACTCCCTCTACACGCTCCTCAAAGGCACAAGTGCTCTGTCTTCCCTCTGATCGCCGTTCGATGCCCGCGTCAGCCCCCCAAGGACACGACCTTCACCGCTGAGCTTCCCTGTGCACAGCTGACGCTAAGTCTGGGCACGGAGATGAGGACCGTTTTCCCACCAAGGAGCGACCACAGATACGCCCGGCTCCCCCTCCCACGCACCCACCCCGCCACCCTCCTCCCCCGAGTCGGCTCCTTTTGTGCCCTTGGCATTCTAGAGCTCTGGTCCAGAAGACCCGTTTCTGCATCTCACGGGTCTGGGGGCTAGGACGCGGGAGGATGGTCTAGGCCTCGCAAGAGGACCCATCAAAGCTGAGGTCCTTGCCTGGCCGCACCCCCGGCCGAGACTGGGGCCTCCGGGCCCCTGGGGTGCCGGAGTCCCTGCGAGTCCACAAGACGCGGGACACGCGCTTGCTGAAGGTAAGACACACAAGCAAATCAAGGAGGCACTGGTTGTGCCTTTGTGTCCACTCACGTTCTTAAAGTTACTGCTTCATTAAGACTCCCAGCCTTCAGCAACGGTTTGTCACCCGGAGACGCTGGCATACCTGACTCGTGGGAGGAGGCAGGAGGCTCAGCAAGAGCCACCTGGGCCTCCCCTCTGCGCAGGTCGACGTGGGGTGAGGGGGGGTGGACGCGGGTAAGGGGGGCGGGTGGGCGTGGGGTGAGGGGGGAGGGAGGCAGGTGGACGTGGGATAACTCGGTAGGGGGGCGGATGGATGTGGAGTAAGGGGGGGCAGGTGGACGTGGGGTAAGGGGGGGTGGACACGGGTAAAGCGGGGGGGCAGGTGGACGTGGGGTAAGGGGGGGCGGATGCGGGATAACTGGGGGTAAGAGGGGCGGGTAGACCTGGGGTAAGGGGGGAGGGAGGTAGGTGGATGTGGGATAACTCAGGGGGGGCGGATGGATGTGGAGTAAGGGGGGCAGGTGGACACAGGATAACAGGGTGGGGGGAGGCGGGTGGACGCGGGGTAACAGGAGGCAGCATGGCGGACACCACACCTGAGGTTGTACGTGGAGACAGGTGCAGCCCAGGAATCAGAGCTCCCCTCACGGCCCTAGGCTGGGCCTCAGAAACTTCACCCAGAAATGGAAATGGGACACAGCGCTGAGAGCAGGGTGGCCGTGATTATACCCAGAATACGTGGCCCAACCGTTGGACGAAAACCTCGCAGCCAGGTACACAGATCTAGGTGAAACTTCGGCGAGTCAACCCCAAGGAAAGTTCACAGCCCCTGCGCTGTTACCTATGGCTGCATACACGTTATACACGCTACCCCGAAACAGAGCCACTCACGACCACAAAAACTCGTTATCTTTCAGCCCGTGCAGGCTAGGGATTCAACCGCAGCTTGCTGGGGGGTCCCGGCTCGGGTCTCTCATGAGGGCACAGCCAAGACGGGCCCCAGAGCTGCATCATCTGAAGCCTCGCCTGGGGCCGGAGGGTCGGCATCCTGGACGGCTCCCTCACCGCCCGGACTCTCCGGAGGCTGCCCGGGTGTCGTCACAACGCGAGAAC